CCCCCCCCCCGCTCCGTGACGCGCTTGGTCCGCGCCGCCGCGGTGCATGCCGGGGAGGTGGCGGGACCATGGCGAGCGACTTCTACCTCCGCTACTACGTGGGGCATAAGGGCAAGTTCGGCCACGAGTTCCTCGAGTTCGAGTTTCGGCCCGATGGTGAGGGGATGGGGACGGGGACGGGGACGGGCAGGCGGGAGGGAGGGAGGAAAGGGCGGAGGAGGTGGCGGTGGGGCCCTCCGGTGCCAGGAGGACGCGGGGCCGGGCCGCGGCTCGCCCGCCTGGTGCTGCCCCGTCGAGGGGGGGTTTAACGTCCGCCGTGTCTCCGCCAGGGAAGCTGCGTTACGCCAACAACAGCAACTACAAGAACGACGTCATGATCCGAAAGGAGGTACGGGAGAGGCGGCGGGGGAGGGGGCGGGCGGCCCCGGCAGGCTTTGGCCGGAGCGGCGCTGGGGGCCACGGTCGGTGGCCGCGGCGGCCCGGGGCGGGTGTTGAGGCTGGAGTGTCGTTCGTAGGCTTATGTGCATAAGAGCGTGATGGAGGAGCTGAAGAGAATCATCGACGACAGCGAGATCACGAAAGAGGACGATGCCCTCTGGCCGCCTCCTGACAGAGTTGGCCGACAGGTCGGTGTACGGTGTCTTCTCTAATTGCTGCTCTAATCTGTGCTGTTTGGCTCATTAGGAACACAACTGGGCTTTTTCTTCACATCAGTATTGTTTCTAGCCAAGAAGAGGGAAACAAATACTACTTTAAAACCTGAGCGTGGCAATTTAGTTGTGAGACTTGATGTGATTCACAGACCTGCTGCATTCAACACCTCCGCAAGAAAAACAGAAAAGCCCATCATCTCAGCACTTAACTATTTCTACCATAAAGCAGCAGTTTGACTTCCTCTAATCTTTTCTTTTCCAGGAGCTTGAAATAGTAATCGGTGATGAGCACATCTCCTTCACCACGTCAAAAATCGGTTCACTCATTGATGTAAATCAATCCAAGTACGTACTCTGTGGTCTTATGTTGCTGTTGGTTTTATGTAACAATTTATGTTCCAACTTGCTGATTAGTAGGTACTTGTATTTTATGTTGTTTCAAACTACAGATCAGTTGCTGGGGGCACAAGTGCTCTGTGTTCCCATGTAATCTGCCAAACACTTCTAGGCTGTGTCATTAGTGCTATTTTTTCAAACCCACTGAGCCACTAATCCTTCTGCAGGAACCCCTGTTGGCACATTCAGGGGCTGAGCTGAGCTCTCATTGTGACACTAATGTCTCTGGGAGAAACAAGACTTCTGGACTGAAGAGCTGAAAAGACTTAGTATCTTGTTTTGTAAATCCAAAGTGGTGTTGCTACTTGCTTTCATGATAAAAATGCACATTTTGTCAGAGACTTACAACTTGCAAGCTTGGACTGTAGGCTGTTCTATCAATCCATGCAGGATGAACAAATCTATTAATGTGTAAGATGACCTTTGAAAAGTCTCCCTGTGGGCATGGGTTGGTTTTGGTTTTTTAATAGGTGACAAAAACTGCTGGTTTAGAACATCAATCTAACTGGTCGGTCTTCTTCCTTCCTTCCTTCTGTTGTGCGCTGCAGGGATCCAGAAGGCTTGAGAGTGTTCTACTACCTGGTCCAGGACCTTAAGTGTCTAGTCTTCAGTCTTATTGGACTACACTTCAAGATCAAGCCAATTTAAATCAAACCAACTGAAGTTTGTATTGCAGAGTCTGTACGGATGGGGGGGGGGGGCAGGATTGCTGTTTCAATTTTTCACTATTTCTGGCCTGAACTTTTTATGTATGTTAGATTTCTTTTTTTTTTCTTTTTTTTTTTTTTTTTTTACAAAACGTCAGTGACTGTTTTAATAAAATGGTGAGATCTGTATTTTTAATTTATAACTTCTGGTGAGAAACTGACTTCTCTACACTTCCTCTATCATGGTACACTCAGGGACTGTTACCCCAGTTGTATCACACAAAGCGATAGTTCATTTCTCTATCTGTGCGGTGGTAGCAAATGGAATTAAGTCTGGCTCTGGGAAATGGCACTTTTGCCAGCTGTCAAGATAAACTTTTGCTACTGTCCCGAGTCAGATCTTCTGCTGGGCAGATCAAAGGTGCAAAACAACCAAGAAAGGTTGAACCAGATGATTCTTCTGACCTGGGAACCCGAAGCTCTGACTCTGCACGTGGTGACCGGTTACAGCAAAGATGTGTGTCAGCTGCTGAACATCCTGCTGCTGTGATCGCCTGTTTCCCTTCAGAGCAGAAGTGGACACCAGCCCACCCGGGAGCCATCCAGGCTGTTCCCTGATACTCCATCCAGCTTCAGAAAACCTGAAATTAAAAGCAACGTAGAATGTAGTTAGTTCAGTTCTAGGCTAGCAGATCTGTTGTGCAGGATTGATTAAGAGACGTAGAGGACCAAATATGTCTTAACTTCACGGAATCACAGAATTGTTGGAGTTGGAAGGGACCTCTAGAGATCATCTAGTCCAACCCCCTGCCAAAGCAGGGTTGCCTAGAGCACATCACTCAGGGCTACATCCAGGGCTTGAAGATCTCCAGAGAAGGGGACTCCACACCCTCCCTGGGCAGCCCGTTCCAGTGCTCTGTCACCCTCACTGGAAAGAAGTTCTTCCTCCTATTTGAATGGAACTTCCCAGGTTCCAGCTTGTGCCCCTTGCCCCTTGTCCTGTCACTGGGAACCACTGGAAAGAGTCCAGCTCCATCCTCAAAGTGGTGGTTTTTGTACAGTGCCATAGGGCTCCCCCACAAGGGGTCCAGGGCTCCCCACAGGCTCTGAGGGTGCTTCCTCACCCCAGTGCTGCCCACCTGCTCCCTTGCCTTCTTTAGCGCCTCTTTCTGTTCCTCCTAGATCAGTAGCCACTGCTATTAAAAAAAAGATTGTGGCTAAATGACTTTATAAAAACACCCCCATTGCCTGTGGGAGCACCTCCTGCTCCCCTTCTCCCGCCACAGACACCCCCTGCTTCCCCCACAGCCCCCTTCTCCCATGGCCCCGCTTTCCCACCGCCTCCCCGTTCCCCTTCCCCGCCCTGCACCGCCCGTCCCGGGGCCGGGCCCGCCGCGCCTCCCGCCCGGTGCCGCTCCGGCGGAGGGCTGGGCGGTGACTAGGCCGCGCCGCCGGGCGCCATCTTGGCTGAGGGCAGCCCCGGCTTCCCGGCGGCTTCAGCGCGGCCGAGAGCACCGGGAGGCGGCCGCCAGCTTGGCTGAGGGCACCGGCGCAGCGCGGTGGAGGGTGGGGGAGAAAATAAACCAACCGAACCCAGCGCTAAAAACACGCAGGAGCGGGTTGAAGCCCGCAGCTGCTCCCGCCGGGGTTGAGGGGGGGCGGTGAAGAGAGAGCCCCGGCAGCGCGGCGGCCCCGTGAGGTGCCGGGCACCCTGCGAGGCCATGGGGGTAGGTAGGAGCCGCCAAGCGAGGGGGGCTGAGGTGAGGGGAGCCGAGCTGAGGGTCTCTCTCGCTGCCTCTTCTCTTGCAGAGGATCGGGCTGCAGCTGCGCGCCACGCTGGAGAACATCACGGGACTGCGGGCCGCGGGGGAGGACTTCCGATGGTACCTCAAGGTGCGGGACCGGAGCGGGGACGGGGTGTGGGGAGCCTGGGGTCAGCTACAGGAGCAACGAATTTGATGGTAGAAATCAAAATAGGTGTGTGTACGTCAATTACATGTGTGACGTGGTCAAGGGAGGTCATTCTTCACCTCTGCTCTGCACTGCTGAGGCCACAACTGGAATACTGTGTCCAGTTCTGGGCTCCCCAGTCCAAGAGGGACAGGGAACTGCTGGAGAGAATCCAGGGTAGGGCAACAACGATGATGGAGGGATTGGAGCATCTCCCTGATGAGGAAAGGCTGAGAGAGCTGGGGCTCCATCTCTCTCTCAGCAGAGAAGGCTGAGGGGAGACCTTATCAATGGTTATAAGTATATAAAGGGTGGGTTGAAGGAGGATGGAGCCAGACTCTTTTCAGTGGTTCCCAGTGACAGGTCAAGGGGCAACGGGCACAAGCTGGAAGGTGGGAAGTTCTATTCAAACAGCAGGAAGAACTTCTTTCTGGTGAGGGTGCCAGAGTCCTGGAACAGGCTGCCCAGGGAGGGTGTGGAGTCCCCTTCTCTGGAGATCTTCAAGCCCCACCTGGATGCAGCCCTGAGTGATGTGCTCTGGGCATCCCTGCTTTGGCAGGGGAGTTGGACTAGATGATCTCTAGAAGGTCCCTTCCAACTCCAACAATTCCGTGATTCCATGATTCCATGACATTATACATTAGTTTGGAATAATGAAAAGTCCTTAGTTCAAGCATTGATCGGTGTCTGCATTGGTGCGGTGGTTGGCAATCCAGTACCCACTGGCAGGTGACCCAGGTAAATGGTGAGGTGTGCTATTCCCATCTTCTATTTCCTGACTGCGCTTCGTACCACATTTTCCACCCAGCGCACCAAAGGGCAGACCCTCTGCGGCAGCCATACCTGCCACGAAACACTGGGCATGGTGGGTCTGGAGGGCTCACGTCAGCTCCTGCAGCTTCTTAATCTCTGGTTACTGACAGCTTTAAATGCTCTGGTTTATTTTTCAGCTGAAATGTGGAAACTGTGGTGAAGTTTCTGAAAAATGGCAGTATCTGCGATTGATGGTACGTTTCCCTGTTGCAACCTGCATCAGAACAAAAATGAGAACACAAACCTGCCCTCTTAACGCAAGGGATATTGGTGACACCTTGCACTTTAGATGAGATAGTATTTTAATAGCTGATAACATTCAGGAAATGCTGTCATATTCCCTACTAAAAAAAAAACCCAAATATTATTTGTAGACTATTAATTGAAATATGCCATTGGAATGGTGACTGCTGGGGACAAAGTATTTACACATCTGCTTTGAAAAGCTGCCTCTCTGTAAAAATATCATTTGAAAACAAACTTTGAAGTGATAGCAGAATAAGTTTGTGCCTGTAGCCTATTTCTCTGATGCTGGTGGAATCTTTTTGGAGAAGTTGAGGTAATTCAAGGTGAGTTAAGCATACAAAATTAGCATTTGGAAACTGAGAAAGCTGGATAAAATTCGTCATGGTTAAGAGAAGTTTCTGTTCTTAGGAATAATCATCCCTTTTTGTTGATACTAGCGAATGGTAAGAGTGTATTTTGAGGAATTAATGGAACATGCCTACATGGACAAGACATAACCATCCATTACTCAAGTCTGGAAGAAAATTATTCTTTGATAATTACAGCTTTCTGAATTATGGATCTCTCTAAAAAAAAACCTTCTCGTTGCAATATCTTTAAAAAGTTAAAGTTGTAAAAAACTACTTTACCTTTGCAGAAGTGGTTCAGTTGGAGTGCAGTTAAAAATGATGTCTCTGTTGTTGTTATTTTTAGGACAGTGCTCCCCTGAAAGGAGGCAGAGGAAGCGCCACGATGGTGCAGAAATGCAAGCTGTGCTCCAGGGAGAACTCCATTGGTACGTGCTTAGAAATTTAAGAGGCATCATCCATTTTATACCTTTTCTCCTGGGCTTATTTTTTTAGTCCCCATTTTTGCTTGGCACTGTTGATCAAGAGCATTCACCAGGGATTTTTTTCCTTGTTTCCTCCACTGGTGCTTGAGTTCACAACAGATACATACTTGTCATCATGCTCATGAAGGAGACAGCAAGGCCTCCCGGGGAGTTCAGGTTTCTGCATGAACAAAACTCATATCCCTTAATGTCATTTTACAAAAGCACGTAATTCATTTTGCATTAGGGTAACAAAATGGCGTAACGTAAACTGCTCAGGAGAAGTGAGAAAAACTGAATTATGCTTTTTGAGGGCCAGCTGCAGGAACTGCTTGGTTACTTTGTTTCTTTTACTTTGTATAAGGAAATTTCTTCGAAAGAAGAAGCTGGAGCTTGGTTTGTGCTGAATAAATCTGAAGACATAATGCCACTTACTTTCACACTTCTGATTTTTTTTTTTTAGATATCATAAGTCAGACAATCAAACCTTACAACGTAAGTTTGCTTTCTCTTCTATATAATAAGTGAAAGATAATAAGCTTTAACGATATCTTGAGGTTTTATCATCACATTCCTCTTTCAAGAACACAAAAAGCTGGTATTCTCCTCTGAAGAAAACTGTGCTACATTTCATAAGCAAAACACAAAACTCTATCACTCAAATTAGAGGCAATTATATAATGCCCATATTAGTTTCCTTTTGAAGGCTTCCTTGTGGCAGATTAAGAAATCGTAGTTAATGACCACCTATTAAACGAGCCCTAGGTTGGGACATCAGAGTTGATAGTACTGCCAGCTGTTCATTCCTATGCTAATGCTTGTCACTGTCGTTAAAGCAGTTCATTCCTATGCTAATGCTTGTCACTGTCTGTCTCTATTAGATGAAAACTAATGGTTTTCCAACTCAATTATAGGCCGAAGACAGTGAGAAATTCAAAACAATAGTGGAGTTTGAATGCCGAGGTCTGGAACCAGTTGATTTTCAGCCACAGGTGAGTTTTTATTTGTGATTTGTTTCTCAGTTTTTAGGAGCGCTTCTTATAAAGTGATAAAACATATACTATTGGAAATGGTATTGCTCTGCCTGGAACATCCTACACATTCAGTTTTACATCCTCTCCATAGTTTGTTCTTCATTTTACTCAAAAAAACCCTTACCAAACCTGCAAGCAGCAAACACTAACAACTCTTGTATTCTTTGTGCCAGTAAAATCTAAAATGAATTGTGCCTTGGAGTTGTGTTCAAATTGCCATACAGGTGGCTCAGCACCGCTCATCCGAACTCATCTGAAAGGTCGTTACAAAAGGGCATCTTTCCCTGGGTGGGAATTGCAGGAGCACAGCATTAGGTAGCCACATTCAGGAGAGGGACACTGTGCTTCTCGGTATGCCACAGAGAATAAGTGAAGTTCAGGTTATGAACAGTTTTCATTATATGGCCTCTGAGAAAAAATAAAATTCCCTTTGAGATTTGACATCACCAAAGCCATAGGAAGGGAATACTTGGCCATTTTTCCATTTGAAACTTGGTCAGACCAAGACTAAAGATCACCGGCAGTTGAAGAGTGTTGCAAAGCACTCCTCGAGGTTCAGAGTTAAAGGATTTCCTCGGTGCCCAGCCACTCTCCAGTGATTCATTTGCTTGTGCACGGTCATGCTGTATGCCAGCTAACTCCCTACTATATTTAACCTATTATTCCAGTCGGATTAGGTGTAAATAGACTGATAAATATAAACCTGCCTTATCCTTCCCTCAGACTGTGACACTGTGCTAAGAAACAGACCAAAAAAGCTGATCCTACAAGGAATTCAGTATAAATAAAATCACCACTGCAGCGTGCTCCAGGAGGTCTTATCTAATTATTTATTTAGGTGAAGCCCATCTTTTTGAGGAACAGAATGGTTATTAGTTTATTCCTGTTTGAAAGTTTTGCAGTCAGACCTAGGAATTTGCACTTTAAGAAAAATCTAAGAGAAGACTACAAATTGTAGGAGATGTTTATAGCTCTGCATCCTCGCTGTCAATTTTATTTTTATCTGCAGAACAAAGACTTCACACCTGTTACAAAGCTAAATTTAATATCCTCCTTCTGTGCACTCTATTGGAGAGTACCCTCGAATCCTGAGCAGGTATTTCAGTGAATTTGTGATTCCTAAATGAGTAAATATATGGACTTATGCAGTTCTGAATAATTCTGTAACTTGCTTTCTGTTTGATGTGATCCAAGCCAGCCTGGTGTCTCTACAACCTTGGATCTGGCTTTTGATTAGCAGCAAACAGGATAGGCCACAGCATTCATGTATTTTCTTTGTATTTTTTAATAGATATAGTACAGCCATACCTGAAGTCAATTTAGATTGGTTTAATGCTTGTATGCCATATTTAAATTATAGTAGTTTCCTCAAAAAAAATCATGTAAGTCTGAAAGAGGAGAAGGCATCCTTTGATTGTCTGATATAAACCCTCTTTTCCTACCTAGTACCAGCAACAAATTCAAAGTTGGTACTTGTGTGTTCTAATAATAGGTGTCCTATTCCTCGGAAGGCCAGTGAATATCTCCAGGTGGCAAAAGCAAAGCTTCTTTTAGTTTCCTAGCATCTCTTCTGTACTGGAGCCCTGCATTTTTGTCCCATGATGCTGATCTTCCCCTCCACCCTTGGCAGTGCCCATGAGAAGGGCTTCTGACAATTATGTAAAGGTCATATTCACACCGTGCCTCGCAGATAGCTCTCCTGTTGCTACATCTGCCACGCTCCATGGTTTATTTAACTCCCAAGTGCTTAACCTTCCATTCAAATCCCAAAATATTTTAAAATCCCGTGGCTTACATCACATGTTCTTACACAGTTAAATGCCTGACTGGCGCTAGTGGGGATTTCTCTATCAAAAATGCAAATGTAGATCCCTTGCAGAAAACCAGGAAGACGCTGCATTTGTTTTTTAAATAAAATTCCATAGTTAGAAATGGCAATGTAAGAATCCTTCCTGTGTGCTACAGAGGTAGCTGAGACTTTTTAAGCTTAACTAATAAAACTTAATTTACAGCTTGATAACTGTGAGGCCTAAAATGAGAGAGCAGTTCCTAAAGAAGATAAAAAAGAACACCTCCTTCTTGTGCTATACCCCACTGATACACTGTTTCCTTCCTAGTGCTATCCTTTCCTTCTCCTCTTTAAAAACAGCAACAGTAACAACAGTGAAGAACTCTTCCCTTTGAAATGATTGTTTGGGTATACTAATTGTTCCTTCACCCAGCTGATCCTCCTTGCAGGTAAAGCTTGCCAGCAACTTCTGCACCTAAATCCAATCCAGGCTGCTCCATCTCTCCAGTGTCTTGGATTCTGACAATATTTAAACCAAAATTATTAACTTTCTTCCACATTTTCTTTCTATTGTTTTCTTGCAGTATAATTAAGTTTGTTCTGAAGCTATCTTATACGTAATGCCTGTATGGATTCTAAACACAAATTAAAGCTATTACTAGTTGGATGTTGCTACATAAACATAGAAACTCAGGTTTAACATTATCTAGAATTCTTGGAAATACCTTTTTGGAAGGAAAAGAGGAGAAGCATTCCCTTGTTTGACACTGTGGTTGCTTAGACTGAATTTTCCCAATTCATGAACAGGGTCACAACCTTATGCTGACTTTTAACCACTCTTTCTACCTAATGTAAAAGAAATACAATAAAATTATGCTGAGTTTCTTTCTTTAAACAGAAACTTTACTTTCAGTGATCATTTTTTTTTTATTTTCTTTGTACAACTTATTCTTAAAAACTTACTGCAACTGTGTTTGCAGGCAGGGTTTGTCGCTGAAGGCGCAGAATCTGGCACACCTTTCAATGACATAAACTTGTTAGAAAAGGTATGTTCTCTCAGTTTTGTTAGTAAATCTAATTATCTAGCTTTCTTTCCCTAAGTCACTAGCCCAAAATACACACCCTGCATGTGCAGGAGACATGTTTTGCTCTTTCATGCAGGAAGGTCATAGCTGAGCAAGAAACTAAATCAACTATGAACAACTAGCATTACTAACAGTGTCATTTTAGAAGTACACCCTTTATATATAGCTTAGCAGCTGACAAAGGTAGAAATGCAACTTCTAAGTCACTCAGGAATTCCAGAGAGCAAACACCTGGAACACTAAATGGCTGGGGTTATTCAGAGTGTTGAACTCATTTTTCTAGGAAGGTGCCTGCACTGTTTCCTGTGAGCAGAGATATTAAAAAGTAACAGAAAGACACTGTCCTTCAAAGCTCAGGGCAACGACTCCGGCATTGCAAATCTTCCTTGGCTGTGAGCAAGAAACCTCAAGGTCAAATCCGTTCCCTGGTATCCTACTTGGCAGGGATCTGCTTGTCTGCTTACCCACCTGACCAGGGTATTGTAAATGATAGATAATCCTTTCATCTGCCGTGGTGGTTGTCCACTACAGGCTGTGGACTACATATGAAAAAAAAAAAATTGTTAAAATAAAAACACTGAAGCTTATCTAATTTCAGGTAAATGCTCTTGCTTCTCTCAGATATCAGAACGCAGCTTAGTGACTGCACGGTGCTTTCCACAGAAATCTAAGACCCAAACTTTGAGTAAGGTTTAGTTTCAGTTTGAACTCCAGTCTGTGATTTAGACATTATTGCCTTCTGTCTTCTGTGTCTAATACTGTGAAATCTTATTTCCTATAGGATTGGAATGACTATGATGAAAAAACAAAGGAATCTGTTGGAATCTATGAAGTTACCCATAAATTTGTAAAATGCTGAAGTTCATACCCTTAACAAATCTTGACACGCTCATTGAAGACGGAGCTGTAACTATTGGAGACTCAGCTTCCTTGGAGTTCCTTTTCACACGGCTGTACTGCAGAAATGGAAACTTCAGTTGTACTCAGTCCCCAGGAACTCCTAATAAAGTATTTTCCACAGAGCACTTTGAGATGGCCTCAGTACAAACTGAAAATTGTATATACTGAACTGTGCCATTTGCTTGATGTTGTCTTTTGGGGGAATATATATGGTTGTGATGGACGGTAGCTTAACTACTCTATCAACAGCAACTACTTAGACAACTTATTAAGTTTTTAATAGCCTACCACCAAGAAGTGCCCACATTTGATTCTCTCACATAAGTCAGTAAGGTCTTTTCACTCACCACTCCTACCATCAGGAAATGGCTATGAGCATTAGTGAAGGACAGCATCAACTGTTCAATTGAAAAGGCACCTCTTTGAGAGCTTTTGGCCAGTTCAAGTAAAGACCCTGAGGTGGGTTTACTGAGAACACTCATTAAGCTTGACTACTACTGACATTTACACATAGCTCTTACAATCTTCAGAAAATTAAGTTATCTTTTCAAGTGTGTCGTAAACCTCACTCATGTCTAGTTGAAGACAGATCTACTTCTTGGCAACTGTGCCAGCTATTCTTATGTTTTTAAAAAAATAATAAACAACCAAAAACACAAACCCAAAAAACTAGTGAACTTAATTCAAAGACTCTTGGTCTGATTATTTCCTTCATCCCCTTCAAATGATCACCTTCCTTTAGTTGTTTAAAAGAGCAAGAACAATCATGGTAAGTTTTAAAGTAAGTTTTAAAATAATCCTTTTCAACTGGAAACTGGAACAGCCCATTACAGGCTGCAGAGGAAAAAGCCCTGACTAGGAAAAGCCTTTGCACTTACATATTTTAAGCAAATCTCTTCCCTTCCCAGCATTTGCAGTTCATAGTTCAAGATATGGTACTGCTTATGCTTACTGTGATAAAGGAAAAAGAACCTGGAAGTTGAGATACCCAAAGGAAGAGAAAGACACGGGCTGCCTTAGCACTACACCGAGCTGCAGAGGCAAGTGCTACCGTGCTCCAGAGAAAGACTGAAGTCAAGAGGGTTTAAAAGGCAGAGGGGAACAAGTTATACACACCATAGTGAATTTTGTGCAAAAAGGCCCCTTCCCTTTTTGTTACCATCCACTTTGTAGCTGGCCGAGTCCCAGCTGTGAAGAGCACGCAAGGAACTCGTCTGCATCAGCTTCATCTCGCATTCGCAGCATCGCTTAGTTTTACTGGTGTCTGTGCTCAAGCTCCTGTGATCCTTCAGAGAGTTCTGACAAGTCTTAGTCTTTAGAATTTCTCCTACAAGCCCCGTGCATTGAAGACACAGCTCTAGGCACTATGGCACTTGCTACAATAAATAATGTCAAAAGTTCTAGCTGACAGAACAAGGAGGAAACAGGAAAGTGTTCTGTTGAGGTTACTTTTCCACAGGAAGTTTGGAAAGGGAGAACCCCAAAAGATAAAGTTCAGTGTTTGTTTTTTTTTAAGGCACAAGAGCAGAGGTTTATGTAGCATAACAAAAGCAAGTTATTGGACAGACTTCACCTACAGAAGGGGAGAGCCACCGCTGCTTTCAGTGGTTGTCTTTTCAACCATAGTAAGAAACATGAGCTATTCATAAAGGGCCTACCCATACTGTCTCATTTTGATATGGCAATAAAAGAACTTTGTGATTATTGATAGCTTTATTAAAATACAGTCTTTTCCAGTCAATTTAACACCACAGTTGGTGACTGCAGGTTACTTAAAGCCTCTGTTAGAGTGGAAAGGCTTCAAGTGGTTGAGGCACAATCAGTTTCGGTATCAATTCAAGTTTAAAGAGAGAAGTAAGTGTGACAAGTTAGTAAGCAAGCCTACTGTAAGAGTGCAAATGTAACCACTCTTTCGTATTTAAAATTATTGCATGTATTTTTTTAAACTCTAAGAGTGGTATCACAGTGCTGTTGTCTGTCTGAGCATTCATGGAACAGAGATGTTCCAAGTTCCTAAACTTGGTAACAATGCCTTTAAGTAATGTGTTTTAAGAACACACGGATCTGTTGGAACAGATCGATCTGTTACTTAATTTTGACATCGTGAATGTTTGTATTTCCTGAAACATGCATTCAAGGTCAGTACTAGATTTCTTTAAAATAGATACAAATTTCATAGTCAATCTAAGAGTATTCAAGTTCAACGAAGACAATGAAGCCAGTCTCAGCCACATTGAACACTGATTAGTGTACCAATTAGACAGTCTGCATTTTGTACTGTGTTCCAAAGCTTTTATGTCTAACTACCAATTTTCTTGCCCTTCAAAACATTAAAGATATCTTCTAGTGACTTGTATATACACTGAAGGTATTCTTTACCATTCCTCGTCGGGTAAGAGGAAACATTACAACCTATCCAATCATCGTGTACCTGATATCCAACTCCAAAGCCATCAGCCACCACGGGACCGAACCCCCCTAACTGCACAGCTGGGCTAACCAACGTGCTCGTGGAAATGATGTTGTGATTAATCCGAGCATAGGCTTGGTCTTGATAGAAATCAGGCAGTGGGATACCTTTGGATGAGGCTAAATAGCGCAAGCCAAAGAGATGCCGGTCAAATCCCTGACCTGTTAAAATAAAATAACAAGTATTAGAGAGATGATTAATTTTTGTGGGAAGCAAACTCGCTTATTTTGACATCGCATCATTTTTCAGCCACAAAAGAGGACATTTATAGAACTGGGATTTATTTTCGTATTTCAGGAATTATTTTTCAGAACCCAGACGTTCTGCACATGCGATACACGTATCCCAGGGAATGAGGGCTGGCTGTTTCACTGCTAGCCTCAACCAGGAATCATGAGAGTAAACAAAAGTGCCATGTTAACAGACAATTTTAATAATACATCGCATTCTTTGATTAACTATTTATGTGAACATATCTCCGTTGTTTAGAACGGAGAAAGGCTTTCCTAAAATTTGTAAATCTAAAGAGGAAAAGGATCTTGTATCAACAAAAGGAAACAAATTTTAGGCTCCATGGGGTAATGTTCAACAGTCAATTTTACTGAAACAATACACCAAGTTACACTTCTGGGACAGACAATTCAAAAGAAAGCATTTAGAAAAATACCAGGAGTACCACAGCCAAAGGATCAGTTTGATTTTGAAGTTTTTAAAGCCTTTATCCCCTGCAGGGATAGAACAGTAACTGCTTAGACATAAAGCCAAAATTCTTGGTTGCCTCAGGGACACACACTGAAGAATAAAAGTTTTTCAGCACTTTACCGGTGAAGCAGGAAGCACAGAGGCACCAAGACAGGCTGAAAGAGTTGGGGTTGTTCAGCCTGGAGAAGAAACGGCTCCAGGGAGACCTTAGAGCCCCTTCCAGTACTTAAAGGGGGCTACAGGAGAGATGGGAAGGGACTCTTTACCAGGGACTGGAGCAATAGGACAAGGGGCAATGGTTTTAAACTGAAAAGAGGTGAGATTTAGATTAGATATTAGGAAGAAATTTTTTACTGAGGATGGCAAGATATTGGAACACGTTGCCCAGAGAAGCTGTGGCTGCCCCATCCCTGGACGTGTTCAAGGCCAGGCTGGATGGGGCTTCGAGCAACCTGATCTAGTGGGAGGTGTCCCTGCCCGTGGCAGGGGGTCGGAAGTCAATGATTTTTAAGGTCCCTTCTAACCCAAACCATTCTATGATTCCACAATTCCTCCATCAAGAATTGAGCCTTAGAGAATGCGTTTGACTCTGTAGCCTTCTGCTACTGTTTTTGTCAAGTTTATATTAACGTTGGACCTCCATCAAAATTAAATTATTTAGTTGTGAAATAATGTTTCCAGCAACCTTGACAGACATTCTAGTGCAAAAGCAAGAGCGTTTGATATATTCCTACTCACCCATGGCAGCTTCTTTTGTCAAACGGCCGTGGTATTGTCAATGATTTTTAAGGTCCCTTCTAACCCAAACCATTCTATGATTCCACAATTCCTCCATCAAGAATTGAGCCTTAGAGAATGCGTTTGACTCTGTAGCCTTCTGCTACTGTTTTTGTCAAGTTTATATTAACGTTGGACCTCCATCAAAATTAAATTATTTAGTTGTGAAATAATGTTTCCAGCAACCTTGATAGACATTCTAGTGCAAAAGCATTTGATATATTCCTACTCACCCATAGCAGCTTCTTTTGTCAAACGGCCGTGGTATTCCTCCATCAAGAATTGAGCCTTAGAGAATGCGTTTGACTCTGTAGCCTTCTGCTACTGTTTTTGTCAAGTTTATATTAACGTTGGACCTCCATCAAAATTAAATTATTTAGTTGTGAAATAATGTTTCCAGCAACCTTGATAGACATTCTAGTGCAAAAGCATTTGATATATTCCTACTCACCCATAGCAGCTTCTTTTGTCAAACGGCCGTGGTATTTTGAGCACTCCACTACCAACTTCTGAAGATCTTCGGTGCTATGTTTGGAGAGTTCCCTGACAAAAGCTTCCGAACATTTCTTTGTATGGATAGAGGCAGGACGTATGGTCTCTGTACGACCATGTTTGAAAGCTGCAGTACTGCAAGACTCATATGTAGCAACAGTCTGATTGTACTGTCGGAGGAAAGCCATCTGGAAGGCAAGCTGAGCCACAGCATCTGGGCTTACCTTCTTCTGCTTTAGAAGGTCCTTTCCCCCTTCATTGAACTGAATCATATTAACAGACAGTCCTTCTACACTGGCATCAAATTTCTGTTTGGCTTTGGTAATTCCTGCTTTTAAGGCATCGTTCAGCTTAAAGTCAAGTTTCCGCACTGCTGCAGAAGAGTCTACAGAAGCAGGCTGGGACTGGGGGCTGATGGCTGGTGCCTTGGTGCTATCTTTAAAAACCTCATTCTGGAACCTGAGCACAGCCACACCATCTCCCCAGGAATGTTCAAAATTAATTCCTGCGGTGCCATCCTTAGTTATGATAAGATTAAAGGATTTGTCGTACCAGCGGTTAGCACCATCTCCATGCAACATAGTGTGGGACAAGTGCACAAAGTCTTTAATGGGAAAATCATCTAAACTTAAACAAAACACAGCAGAGTCTACTTTTTGAAGAGCTTCTTCATTGCCACTCTCCAGCAGATTCTTCCTCAGCAATGCCCACGTATCTCGGTTTTCACTGGAGAGGTAGCCAAGAGGAAAGGCCGGGGCTGGACTGTTGTCACTAAGGATGTATTTCAAGTGTGCTTGTATTTCTGAAGGTTTCAACATATTTCCATCTCTATCAAGAACGTCAAATATATAAAAATTCCCATTTCTCAGTACCAGTAAATGTTTTGCCTTTTCATCTGTATAAAGCTCATCTCTGTTGGGTTTAGGCAGCCGCGTAGAGTTGAAAAGCCTGAAGTACTGAGACATGTCTAGGGGGTACGCGTTGACCATGTAGGCACCAAACCAAGAAAGTGAAGAAGGCACAAATCGGATAATTTTTTTAAAGATCTCAGTGTCACTTTTTTCTGGATTGAGGTGAAAAACCTCTGGCTCAAGATAACCAGCCCTGAAGGTCTTCATAAAACGTATAGCAGAGACTGTCATGTTCGTAGCTCGTATGAGCTGATCGTTATATTCAGATTTTGGATCAGGATTAAAAGACATAAATGCATTAAAATTCAAAACAACGGGTTCACGTGATTTTAGGTACATGTCAAACCAGGGACCTGAAAATGGAGAGTTGAAAAATAGGTCAGAACATAAAAGCAGCTTACTGAGTCAGATCAGAGGTTCATGTAGTCCATATCCTGCCAGACAATTCCCCCAGGGATTCTCCCAACCTCCAATTATGAAGAAAGGTATTGTTGCCTAACTGTAAAAATACCGTATTTGGAGCAATCTGTACCAAGACTGTCAACATCAGCAGCAACGAGGGCCAATTTCCATGTTTTCTGTATGGCTCAGTGATAAACCATAACACCCACCACGTACAATGCAGCTCCCCAACACCGTATTTTGGTGCACATCTCACATCTGGAGTGGAATATGCCTTTACCTACTCTGAAGCTATTAATTTCTGCAACCCTCTGTTATGGAGGGCATGCCTCTCTTTAGAGCCACCTTTACTTCTGATCCAGTGTTTCCCTTCATTCCTGGCAGCATTCTTCCACCTACATTTACTGTCTTACGTTTCCATCTCCTTCCTCTTTCTGTCCACTACCACGATCAGCACAGGGCAAAACTCTTGGTACTGATGCACTGCCATTGGTCTCTCAAGCTGGCAAAAAGATGAAGTTAGATGGGACCTCACAGTTATTCTTCCAGGCCCAGAACTGACTTTGGAAAGCAGAATTACATTTGATAACCACAGGTCTTTCAAACAGTCTGTCAGCATAACAAGCAGCATGAATGTGACCCAAAGGTTTTGTGCTTGCCAAAACCAAGGGAATCAATCATAGTTCTAGAAGTAGTTACACCTTTACACCTGCCTATGAATAAAAAAAAAATAATCCAGGGTCACAGGCAGAGAAGGCATTTTTTAAGTAGGTTCTATTTCATCATCTTTAACAAATTGCACTCAGCAAGTTCCAGTATTGCACACTGCCTGGATACAGACCAAGGAAGCAAGTGCACACCAACTTCCCCTCAAGGGAGCCGATGTATTAAAAATTATTATTATTATTATTCCAAGCCTGGATCAGTCCCAAGTAGAACCTTCTAGCTGGGCTGTACGAAGGACAATGGGTAACTCAAGGACCTAACGTACAATTTTAATTCCAAGTCCTCATGGGTGAGTAACTAGCATTCATCTACAGTTTTAAAACCACATCCATCATCATCACGTAGCCCATCATATATTTTCAGAAACCAATTTCAAGTGGAACAGGTCTTTTATGAGGCCTAAGAAAGAATAATAACTAAACAAAAAGGAATCCAAACACCCCACAGTTCACAGACACAAAGCTGCATACTGGTTAACATTGACAAACATCATAAAATCACCAGTTAAAACCCCAGATGTTGTTCAAAGTGAATGGAAAGTAAAAGCTAAGAAATCAAAGAGCAGCTTTTGTGAAATAATTTGGTATTCTCTACAGAATCTGCGGTAGCTAACACCGCTACAGGTAGTCTCAACAGACAGCAAGGACAGAAGCGTATTCCCTGGGCAACATGCAAATTTCTACTTCCATAAGTATTTGAATACTTCCACCTCTGTTGCTACCCACCCAATACTTTCATACGCAGACACTTGCATGTGGAAGTCAGTGGAAGCAATAATAAGGAAGAATAATAAAAAGCTATATGCATATTCTCGCTCTCTTAATGTGTTTTTCTTTATTTTCATCTTCCCTCTTTCTGCTGCTCCTTTTGTTTTGCTCTTTAAAAGAATATTTTGTAGTTTTGTGGGGCTTTAAGTATGGACCACTGGCCACTTTTGCCTCCCACATCTTATTCTGTGAACCCACCTCAGAGTTTAGTTTTCTTTCTAAATAACTTGGAATTATTTGAAAATGATAGCTTTCTTTTCCTTAAGGGAATTACCAGTTAAGCTCCTCTATATAAACAAAAATAGACAGCAATGAAAAAAGAAATAAATAAACCCTGTAAACTCAAATTTAAATACAGTTTCCTTAAGGGAATTACCAGATAAGCTCCTCTATGTAAACATAAACAGACAGCAATGAAAAAAGAAAAAAAATAAACCCTGTAAACTCAAATTTAAATACAGAAACTCATGAAAAAGTACCATTTCTCCAACAGCCATCTACCCAGAATTCTGGTGTATACAAGATGATGGGCATTCTTCTTTCCACCAGAGACTCAGAATTTGCTCAAATACAGTCACAGTATGTTATTCCAAGTTTATGGAGTAGATAACTTATGCTTCAGCTTATTTCATTTGTAGCATTAGGAGCTACATACGCAGTAGACCAACATACCTGTGATGTAACTGGTATGCTTGTTCTGATTGTCTTGAGCAACCAGTTGCTCGTGCAGCTCTCTTCCAATTCCCTTTTCAAACTGTCGAGCAAGTTCTTCAGTTTTCCTACAGCAATCAACAAGAGTCAAAATGCTGTCAGAAGTCATATTCTTTATATGTAACACTTGGCTTTGAAGCAGCACATGATACTGCAATACACTTATCTTGTTTGTCCATACCTGAACTGATCATCATTTAAAAGCGGTTTCTGGGCATTCAGGTACCTTGTAATGGTATCTTCTAGTTTGGGAACCGGCAGTCTGAAAAAAGGGGAGCACAGAGACATGCACTTTATGAGCAATGGTACTAACAAAGCCCGTTTCTAACACAGCGGTCTCTCTTTGCCTCCCCTCTTCCCTATCCTTCCTTATACCCTCATATTATCCAAATGGCTCAAAAGCATCCTGCAGAAGATGAGAAGAAAGGGAATAGACAGGCATACATCACCAAAGTATAAAGTTCTTGGCAAAGAAAGCAGAAAACCAACTTGCCTGTCTTGGTACAAAGGTATTGCAGTGGAGGGTCCCAACACCTCACAGGGAATATGACATGAACTGTGGCAAGAAGCAGCTACATAGAAGGAAGGTTTAGTTTGGAAGCCCCCCCTCTGCCTCGGGACCTCCTCTCGCTGCTGGTGCCCAGAATCTACTCCTTCTTGCAGATTTCCTAACCAGTATCTCTGTCTATCTCTGTCATCTTCCTCTCAGCCTGAAGATGAAAACTGGATTTCACCGAACTTCACTGAATTTTTTAGAGTTGGAAGGGACCATAGAGATCTTCTTGCTATAAAATACCCCCCTTACACTCGCGGAGGTTACTTTGCAACCTGAAAGAATGTTTCAGTAATAGGCTTATCGTCATATTCACGCTTTAAAAAACGAAATCATTCCCCTCCGCTGTGATTTAGGCAGAGCACTTACACCAAGAGGCGAGCAGCACCCCCCGAGCGCGGGCGTGCAGAACCGGGGGCGTTTTCCCCCCCTTTCCCTCTCCTCACAGGGGACCCCCCGGGGCCGCCGGCCCCACACGGCCACCTGCCGCCACCGACCTCTGCCCGCGTCCCCCCGGAGCCCCGGGCGGCCGCCCCGGGGCTGGCCCGCTCCCCGGAGGGCGCTGACTGCAGGCCCTGCCCCGGCCCCCGATCGGCGGCGCCTCAGGAGGCCGCGGGACGGGCGGTCCGGGAGGGCAGGGGAACCGGCGGGGCGCAGCAGGGAGGGG